CCTCAGGGATGGGAATCCCAAGGGGAGACCAAATCCTCAGGGATGGGGGGTTCAAGGAAGTCCAAGGTGAGACCAAATCCTCAGGGATTGGGGGATTCAGGGACCCCCAAGGTGAGACCAAATCCTCAGGGATGGGAATCCCATGGTGAGACCAAATCCTCGGGAATGGGGGGGACTCACCAGCAGCTCCTCACTCTGTCTCTCCCTCTCGGCCTTGGCCTCCTCCCGCCCTTTCCTCAGGGAGCTCAAGTGCTCCTGGGGCACCTCCTGGAAGCAGAACAAGGAGAACTTTTGGGCCCAAATCCCCCAAATTTGGGGGTTTTGGGAATGGCAGAACTTGCTTTTTTTCCGTCCTCGACCCCGACCTCAAAATGTGCCAAAAACCCCCCCCCAAACCCCCCCCAAAATGGCCCAAAAAATCCAATTAAAGCTAATTTTAACTGCCCGGGAAAAAACAACCCCCCAGGTCCCACCTCCCCCTCCCTGAGGGACCCCAAAATCAGGCTGAACCCACCCAAAATCAGGCTGAACCCCCCCAGAAAGAGGAGTTGCCTCCAGGCTGCTCATTAAATTAATTTGTTATTAATTAATGAATTAAAAGTGTCCTGGTTTAAGTGGTTTGAGCTCCACGGAGGGTGGAGAAGCAGCTGGGGTTGGGGAGGGGGGAATAAACTCATTTATTTTATAAATAAACCCCTAAAATAGAGGGATTTTGGGGCTGCTGGAATTTATCTGGGAGATTAAAGCAAATTATCGGGATTTAAAGAAATCAGGGGGGTGGGAGGAGCTCGGCAACAAAGCCAAAAATTCATTAAAAAAATAGGTTATTGAGGCAAAAAAACCAACCAAAAGAGCACCAGCCCAGGGCCCTAAAAAAGAGTAAAAAAAAATCCCAAAAAAGCACCAGCCCAGGTCCTAAAAAAGGGCAAAAATCCCCTTTTTTTGTGCCCTAAAAAAGGGCAAAAATCCCTTTTTTTGCTCCCCAATAAAGGGTAAAAATCCCCTTTTTTGTGCGCCCCAAAAAAGGGCAAAAATCCCTTTTTTTGCTCCCCAATAAAGGGCAAAAATCCCCTTTTTTTGCTTCCCAGTAAAGGGCAAAAATCCCCTTTTTTGTGCGCCCCAATAAAGGGCAAAAATCCTTTTTTTTGCGCCCTTAAAAAAGGGGAAAAATTTTTTATTTTTGCGCCCTAAAAAAGGGTAAAAATCGCTTTTTTTTGCGCCCCCCCCCCCGGAAAAGGAACCGCGGCAGTTCCGGGACTGAATTCGTTATCCCAGGACTTAATGACCGCGCTAATTAGGTGGTTAATGACCTAACGATCCCCTCCCTCCTCCTCTTCCTCTTCTTCCTCCTCCTCTTCCTCCCTGCGCAGCAACATCGGCCCCGTCCGGCATCTTGGATCCCTTCGGATCCCTCTGGATCGGCCGATCCCTCATTTTTGGGGGGATTTGAGGCCCTTATCCCCCGTATTTTGGGGTCCCCCAAATCCTAGGGGGGGTCCCCAGTGGCCTCCCAGTTCAACCCAGTTCCAGTTTGTACTGGGAGACCCCCCCGACATTTCCACCCCCCCCGGAGGGTCCCTGTTTTGGGGGGATTTAAATCCTTTTTCCCCCGTATTTTGGGAGCGGGAGGGTCCCCAAATCCAGGGGAGGGTCCTTATTTTGGGGGGATTTGAGTCCTTTTTCCCCCGTATTTTGGGAGCGGGGGGGTGTCCCCAAATCCTGGGGAGGGTCCTTATTTTGGGGGGATTTGAGCCATTTTTCCCGCATATTTTGGGAGCAGGGGGGTCCCCACATTCTAGGGGGAATCCTGCACCCCAAAAAGATCCCTGGGAGCGGGAGGGGGTCCCTGGGGGGATCCTGTACCCCAAAAAGATCCCTCAGAGCGGGAGGGGTTCCCATTGCCCCCCAACATCCCGGGGATGCTCCCACTGCTCTCCCTGCATCCCAGAAAGATCCCTCGGAGCAGGGGGGAATCCTGCACCCCAAAAAGACCCCT